GCAGGAGGAGGGGAGAAGGCAGGAGGATGGCAGGAATAACAGGATATTGCAAGAAGGGGTACGAGGAGGGACCAAAAGGATTTCCCCAGCCATATTGAGAGGATTATCACGCCGCGGGCCCCCACCGTCGGAGTGATTGCCTCTCTGGAGTCACTGTCCTGCAGGTTTGCGTTGGCCTCGCCTCTCGTGGCTGCTCTGTTGCACCGGGGGGGGCAATGGCTAGCCTCATCAAGCTCTCTTGCTGCCTGCGGGGAGGACGAAGATGAGGACAATGAGGAGGAGGAGGAGGCTGAAGAGGAGGAGGAGGAATAGGAGGAAGAGGAAGAGGAAGAGGAATAGGAGGAGGAGGAGGAGGAGGAGGAGGAGGAGGGAGGAGGAGGAATAGGAGAGGAGGACGAGGAGGAGGAGGAGGGGAGGATGAAGAGGAGGAGGAGGAGGAGGAGGAAGAAGAGGAGGAGGAGGAGGGGAAGGAAAAGGCGGGAGAGGATGAGGCTGAGGAGGTGGATGGGGAGGAGGAGGAGGAGGAGGAGGAGGAGGAGGAGGAGCAGGAGCAGGAGCAGGAGCAGGAGCAGGAGCAGGAGCAGGAGCAGGAGCAGGAGGAGGAAACAGTTGGTCCTGAACACGTCATGACGGTCAGGAACACGACGGCCCCCATCCCCGTTCCTTCTCCCTCCTCTTCTTCTCCTAACTCTTCAGTGTCGCCCCCTCCATCCCTCCCAGGCTCCCTCCTGGGATCACACCGGCGACACTGGCGAGGACGGAACCGATGAGGGGTGAGGAGGATTAGAACGGGGAAGGAGTGGCGGAAAGGGTAACAAACGACGAGGAGAAGCAGAGGAGATGAAGGTCGAGAAGGGGAAGTGCGGCGAAGGTGGAGTTGGGAGGAAGCAGCATTTCCGCACCTGGGGGCCCAAGCAGGATGCTCGCGTGCCCGTCCAACGTTGGGCGCGGGAGGTGATGATCTGGTCCGTGGCGAAGTGAGACCTCAACGAGTTTCGTCAAGCGGCCTACGTCTCGTCTCGCTTGACCGGCATGGCTCGCGGGTGCGTGGACGACTGGCCGCCAGGTGTCCCCATCCATGGTAGTCATACCAACGGCAACCCAATGCCGCCCATGACTTTTCGCATGCACAGCGCGGCCGAACGGTGGGGCCAGCTTGCAGGGAGGAGCGCACGCTGGCGGCATCGTTTCTGATGAGCGTCAACCGATTGCCGCAGGAGCGCATCGACAAATTCCTCACCAGGTTCGACGTCCTCCGCAACAGGGCGCAGCAGGCCAGTCACCTCATGGTCGGCTACAGGGGCCTGGTCTGCCTCTTGCTGCGCGCTGTGGCTGCTTCGAACATCCAGTTCACCATGATCCTGCTGCACAGCAGCGTGGCCTCCCCGGGGGACGCACCACAATTGTTTCGCACGATCTAGACATATGATCGAAGGTTCGGCTGGCAATCGCGCCTCGGCCGCGCATTCGTCCCAGCGCCAAACGCACCACACGATTGCATATGGCACTGGAGCCGGACCGAGCAGGGATGGCGTGGGCCCTGCAGCCCGCGGAGCGGCACCGAGTCCGCAGCACCAGCTGTTGCCAACGCGGGCACAGCAGCACCACGGGCGGCACATCCAGTAGCAGGTTTCGACTCCGGCGCCGGCTCTGGTGCCATTAATCGGCGAAGAAGGCGCTGCTGACTACCCCGAACTGCGCGAAGTTCCACTGGGACAGCGCGGCGCCTTTTGGGCCTGCGAGCGCGCCAGGTCCCGATGGCGTCGTTTCAGCAGCAACAACAGTAAGCCCGCGAGCCGCGCGCGGAGGGTCAGCAAACGTGGGCGAAAGCAACAGGAGAGGCTCTCGCACCTTCGCCCAACAACGATATCCGCAAAACCTTCGCCAGCTTCGGGAATCGAGAAAGGGAGGGGCAAAGGAAAGGGCAAGCATCGGACCAGTGCAGTGGGATCTGGCCGACAAGGCAACATGTGTTTTTTCATTGAAGCGTTTTCCCCGGGGCTCGCACCTTGTTGTTTAACCGGGGAAGTCACCAGGCTCAAACTGTGCCCCTGGCCCCCGGGTTACAACAACAACCGCTCCCGCCTTTGACCTCTTCACACTTTAGCGAGGACCCCGCTCCCGCCTGAGACGTCTTCGCATTGTTCTCCGGAGTCGCGCTCTCGTTTGGGTCTTCCTCATAATTTATTCAGGAATCGCTCTTTCGGCGCTTTGGAGACGCGCTCTCGCTGGAGACTCGCTCCTTATGTATTATAGACTCGCGCTCTTGCGTTGGAATTTCCCGCAATTTGTTCAAGCGCCGCGATCCCGACACTCAAGCGCCCAGGAGTCGCGCTCACGCGTAGGACTCCTTCACAGCTTATTTAGGAATCGGGATCCTGCTGCCCCTCGTGGCCCCGTTACAACCCTTCGTGGCCCTCTCGCTGCCCTTCGCAGCCATTGGTGGCCCCCTCGCTGCCCCTCGTGGTCCCGTTGCAGCCCTTCGTGGCCTCTTCGCTGCCCTCCGTGGGCCCGTGGCAGCCCTTCGTGGCCCCTCTGCTACCCTTCGCGGCCCCGTTACATCCCTTCGTGGCCCCGTCGCTGCCCTTCGTTGGCCCGTTGCAGCCCTTCGTGGCCCCTTCGTTGCAACTCGCGGCCCCGTTGCAACCTTCGTGAATTCTTCGCTGCCCTTCGTGGCCCCGTTGTTGCCCTTCATGACCCCCATCGCTGCCCTCCGTGGCCACGTTGCAACCCTTCGTGGCCCCCTCGCTGCCCTTCGCGGCCCCGTTGCAGCCTTTGGTGGCCCCCTCGCTGCCGCTCGTGGTCCCGTTGCAGCCCTTCGTGGCCTCTTCGCTGCCCTTCGTGGGCCCGTGGCAGCCCGTCGTGGTCCTTCTGCTACCCTTCGCGGCCCCGTTGCATCTTTTCGCGGCCCCGCTGCAGCCCAACTATTCGTGGCCCCATCGCGGCCCCGTTGCAGCCTTTCGTGGCCCCTTCGCTGCCCTTCGTGGCCCCGTTGCAGCCCTGAGTGGCCTCTCGCTGCCGTTCGCGGCCTCCTTGCAGCCCTTCGTGGCCCCCTCGCGGCATTTCGTGTCCTCATTCATATACGTACGCCCTTCATGGCGTCCGCTCGTTCGCGCCCGTCGTGGCCCCATCTGCACGCGTTTCGCGGCCCCCCCGTCGCCCTTCGCGGCCCCCTCGCTGCCCTTTTGTGGCCCCGTTGCTACCCTCAGTGGCCCCATCGTTGCCCTCTGCGGCCCAATGTACGCCTGCCTTTTGTGGCCCCCGCTCGTTCGCGGCCGTCGTGGCCCCATATGCCCTTCCTGGCCCCGCTGTCGCCTTTTGTGGCCCCTTCGCTATTCTACGTGGCCCCGTTGCTACCCTTAGTGGCCCCGTCGTTGCCCTCTGTTGCCCCGCATTATCTGCCCTTCATGGCCCCCGTTCGTTCGCGCCCTTCATGGCCCTACGCGCATGCCTTTCGTGGCCCCGCTTTCGCCCTTCGTGGCCCCGTTCCTGCCCTTCGTGGCCCCGCCGTCGCGTTTGCTCTCGTTTTCGCTTGTCGTCGTCGTCGTCGTGGACGGTCCCCTGTCCGTCCTTCTTGGGGTCGGGCTACCGCCGATCAGCGCTGCCGCTGGCCAGGCCGACGGTCCGCGGCCGCCCGCCGCTTGCTGGTGCGTGAGCTGCAGAGCAGAAATATGTACCCCCAAACAGGGTACGATCGAAGACGAAGAGGGCGGGTATCGAGGGTTTGGAAAATAGACGTTGGACGCCACTCGAGAAAATGAGAGCGAACGGTATTAACATGATTGTTGTTGTAGTTGGTGTTGTTATTGTTGTTGGTGGTGGTGTTGTTGTTGATGGTGGTGTGGTTGATGTTGTTGTTGATGGTGTTGGTGTTGTTGTTGGTGGTGTTGTTGGTGTTGTTGTTGTTGTTGTTGTTGTTGTTGTTGTTGTTGTTGTTGTTGTTGTTTGGTGTTGTTGTTGTTGATGTTGTTGTTGGTGATGGTGGTGTTGCTGTTTGGTGTGTGTTGTGTGTTGTTTGTTGTAGTTGGTGTTGTTGTTGGTGGTGTTGCTGTTGTTGTTGTTGTTGTTGTTGTTGTTGTTGTTGGTGGCGTTGTTCTTGTTGTTGTGGTCGCTGTCGGTGTTGATGGTGTTGTCTGTGCCTGTGTTTGTTGGTGTTGGTGGTGTTGCTGTTGCTGTTGCTGTTGCTGTTGTTGCTGTTTGTGTTGTTGTTGCTGCTGCTGTTGTTGCTGCTCTTGCTGCTGCTGCTGCTGTTGTTGTTGCCGTCGGTGTTGGTTTTGGTTTGTTGTTATGTGGTTTTGTTGTTGCTGTCGCCGTCGCTCGCGACCCGCCCGTGACCCACCCCGCGACCTATCGCGCGACCCACCCCGCGACCCACCCCCTCGTCCCACCGCGCGACCCACCTGCACCCCGCAGCTAACCGGCGACACGCCCAGCCCCCCCCCCCCCGTCCTTTTTAGCTGCAACTGCGGGAGGGTACGTTCAAGAGGGGAAAAAACACACAGACACAGTTCAACGGCGACTCCCAGGAAAATATGAAAATGTGGAGAGTTGGGGGGAAGTCGAACACCCAGAAGATAAGGGAAGCACACAGGGGATCCTGGGATTTGTGTCTATTGATCTGCGTGTCCCTGGGCCCCTGTTAACACCTAAGGACCCTTCCCGGGCCCAGGAAGTTCCCTGGATTTCGGGCCGTCCCCCGGGTCTGGGTCGGGAAACTTGCTCGTGGCCGAGGCCCGCCGTGGTCAGGAAAGCCCTTGCGTTCCTCACTCGGCGTTCCTTGCGGCTGCGCGTCGGCTGCACCACCCCGCCTTCCCGTTCGGCACGACCTGTGTCTGCACCCCCCTTCCCGTTCCTCCTCCCTCCTGTCTGCCCCTCGCCCCATCCGTCCGCAGCTCATCCTCGCCGTCCTCCTCCTCCTCCTGAGTATTCTGGCCCAGCCTCATACACATTCTCCTCCACTTCTTTTTCACCCCTCGTCATCTCCTTCTTACTCCCTGCATAGCCGAATTGGCTCAATACATTGAGATTCGGTGGATCCTGTGCGACCCGGCGACGCGCAGAATCAGCGAAGTCTCCGCCTGCTCCTGCAGCCCGTGCGAAAAGGCGATGACGGTGGTGGGACCGGTTCGAAGCTTGTGCCAGCATGCAGAGGTCCAGCAGAGCAGTCACGGTTCCGGGGAGGAGCTGGGTGGCCTGAACAGGGCGACGTTCGTGGATAAGAGGTGGTCTAGGCCTCCTAGATGGGGTCGGAGTAGATGGGGTCGGAGGATCGCGTTGCGTCTTCGATGCATCGGCGATGCATCGGCGATGCGGCTCGATGTGGGGCTCAATTTTCTCCACGCAGACGTCGCGGATGTTTTGCCGACGTCGCCAGTGCATGGCCAATGCGTCGGCGATGCGGCGCGATCCCCCCGACCCCATCGATTCTGACCCCATCTAGGCGGCCTCTAGTTCCTCCCTCTTGTCTGCCCCTCGCCCCATCCGTCCGCAGTTCATCATCGCCGTCCTCGTCCTCCTCCTCATGTACGTTCTCCTCTACATCGTTTTCCCAACCCTCCTGTGGTGTTGGGTATTCGTTTCTGAGTAGAGCAGTGGTCTCCGCCTCCTCCTCCTCCTCCTCTCCTCCTCTCCTCCTCCTTTCCTGTCTCCTGTGTTCCCTTCTCATCTTCTCTCGTGCCGTCTGCGATCTGCGCAATTGTCGCCACTTTCGTGGGCTCCTGGGAGGCCCAGCTGCGGTCGGTCCCAGTCGGATCACCTCGGGACCTCGCCGCCCCCTGGGGGGCTTGCGACCTGCGCAACTGTCGCCACTTTCGTGGGCTCCTGGGAGGCCCAGCGGAGGTGGGTCGCACGCAGATCACCTCGGGACCTCGCCGCCCCCTGGGGGTCTTGCGATCTGCGCAATTGTCGCCACTTTCGTGGGCTCCTGGGAGGCCCAGCTGCGGTGGGTCCCAGGCGGATCACCTCGGGACCTCGCCGTCCCCTGGGGGGCTTGCGATCTGCGCAATTGTCACCACTTTCGTGGGCTCCTGACTCCCCCCCCCCCCCCTCCTGGGGGGCTTGCGATCTGCGCAACTGTCGCCACGTTCGTGGGCTCCTGGGAGGCCCAGCTGCGGTGGGTCCCAGGCGGATCACCTCGGGACCTCGCCGTCCCCTGGGGGGCTTGCGATCTGCGCAATTGTCGCCACTTTCGTGGGCTCCTGGGAGGCTCAGCGGAGGTGGGTCGCACGCAGATCACCTCGGGACCTCGCCGCCCCCTGGGGGGCTTGCGATCTGCGCAATTGTCGCCAGGTGCGTGGGCTCCTGGGAGGCTCAGCGGAGGTGGGTCCGACGCGGATCACCTCGGGTGTATAGAACGGGTTGGGTACGTCACACGGTAAGTATCGTTTTTCGGCATCTCTTTCTTTTTCTTTGCATCGCCGGCTCGATACATCGAGGTGGGAGAACGCCGTGGCGTACCTCCGCGCCAACGGCCTCGCCACGCAGGACGCGGTGCGGGACATCTTGCGAGAGGGCGCGCAGAGCTTCGGCTCCTGGCGCCTCGCTGACGCCTCGCTCGCCTCGCTGGTACCCATACCGCTGCCCTTCCCTCGTTTTCCCCCCGTGGGACCTCATGGGAGGCCCTCGTCGCCACCGCTGGGTTCGCCTCGAAGTTCCGATCCGAGCGCCTCCCGGGAGAGAGGCGGGAAGTAGCGGTATCGGTGCCTTTTGGTTCCCCCAGGTCCACCAGGTCTTGGGGGAGGGGAGCGGCGCCGTCTCCCCTGGGCTGGAGAGCTGGGTGGCCCAGACCGAAGAAGGGACAGCGGCTTGGGCATAGGTTTATATTGCTCCTGTGTACTAGACTCTGTAGAACATAGAAATCGCCCAAGATCATCCAAAAATCGTCCGGCGATGGTTTTCGCAATAATTTATGTTGATCATCAAAACTTCCCCCCCCCCGAGACAAAAAAACCTCGGGCGAGAACATCAACGCAACTTAGATCTTTCCGAATGCGAGGTTGTATGGGGGGGGCGTTGGGTGTTGCACGGGGTTGCAGGAGCTTCTAGAGGGTCTCGAAGGGGGCTGTAAAAGGGGGTAAGGGGTATAGAAATTTCGGGGGCCATGCCCGTCAAGATTGTTGCAGGGGGTTGCAACTGGTTGTGGACCCCGCCCCCTGCAGAAGTTGACAGGACCTGGTTGGCCCCAGCGGGGTCGGAGGATTTTGGCGGGGGGAGATGTCGTCCCGAGTCGGGGGGGGTGACCTGTTGAGGATCGTGTTTGTTCATTGCCGTTTTTGCTCGAATGTTTATCGTTGCTCGGTCCATCGAGTGTGGCGGGACGGCCGACCTCGTTCGGTTGATATGGAGGTGGTGGAGGTGGCGGCGCGTCCGCCATTATGGTGCTTCAGTTGGTATGGACGGTGGTGGAGATGGCGGCGCGGCCGCCATTGTGCCTGCTGCTCGCAGGCGCGGCGACATTCGGATCGCCCAGGAGGCGGCTGCAGTGGCGAAGCGCGCTCGCCGTGCGGAGCGCGAGGCGGAGCAGGATCGGATCGCGAAGCTCAGAGTTCCCGTTCGCGTGCAGGACGTGATGACACGGCCGCCTGTCGCATTTTGTGGCCATCCGATGCTTGCACATATCGCTGCTGTGTCTCGCCACTACTTGAGCGACGTCGTGAATGGAGTTCTGCCTGAGCTTTCAGAAATTGGGCGCTTATTGTTGCACGACACTACTCCGTTGACTTGTGCTACGGCGACGTTGCAATGTCATTACGTTGGTGCCAAGCGGAAATCCTTCCATCGACATTCCATTCAGCTGTCAGCGATGCATTGGTTTCTGGACCGTTGCCGTCGCAGTGTTTTCGCTTCGGCCGTGCACGAGTCGCCTGGCATCTTCTCGAGGTTGCACGCTGTCGATTACGTGGCGTACGATGAGACGCCCTTGATGCTGAGGCAACCATCTCGGCAAGGCCAGGTGCAGGGCATGGGCAACAGAGGTGAGATGAGAGTGGCATTGCCTGATGACTTTTTGGCACTGCTCAGGACGAACGAGACGGCGGCGCCGACCAAGCTACTGCAGACACAGAGGCAATGGGGCTACCTCTTGAGCAGAGACGTCGGCGGCACCCAGCGTTTCTTCATGGTGATCGGGCGCACCGCCTGCCATGTCCAGCCCCTGATGCACAATACCCCTCGTTGTCTCATGGATGCCCTTCGGGACTCCGACTCGACATGCCTCGGCGACCTTCAGTTTGATTCGGCCACGCGCATCGCGTCGATCGATCGCCACCCCAGTAATTTAGTGGTTGAGCGCCGCATGCGCCGCAGATTGTTCAAAGAGAAGAACACGTTTGGCGCTCTCCCAGTGCATTGTCGTCAGCACATGCTCAAGACCATCAGGAATAGTTCAACTGAGAACTTCGAGGCCGCAATCTCTGGCATGATCAACATTACTCTGTCATTGACGTCGCCAGGCTCCTTGAAGATATTCCAAGAATGTCTAGTTGACCATCTTCGCGGCAGGATAAAGCCCCGCACAGGCAGGAACCCATTGGAGAGCGAGGTTCGCAGGCAGCTCATTCTCAAGTGGTTCGTGCCTCAAGTGGGCGATTATTGGGTTGTTCGCGTGCTGTTGGAAACTCTTGCCAATTGTGACTGGGGCACAGACGATGGCGACATGTACATATGCTTGACGCTTCGCGCGCCCCCCGCCAGCTACCTTGAACAGCAAAATCTGCCCAGGCGAGTTGCCTTGACGCCTTGACCATTGCAGAGTAGGGAGGGCCATGCTGCGCAACAAAGATGATGCCAGCCGTTGTCTGTACGAAAGCGGATCAGGAGGAGGAGGATGATAGGTGATAGGCTATCTTGGAGGCCATCTTGTCCCATCCTGGGCTATGTTGGATCTTGCCATCATGGGGGCCAGATTTGGCCATCTGAAGCCGTCTTGAGACCATCTTGGAACATCCCAGGCGCCCTGGGCCATCGCGGGAATCCCTTTCCTGAACCGGGGGGAGGGGGTGCGGGTGAGACACAGAGATCTCTCCGCGTGGGGAAGAAAGCTGGGTTGCAGTAGGATTCTCCGTACACCACAAGCGCCCTAGAGCGTCGGTTGGATTTGTGCCCCCTGGCACCCCGTACGATGAGGCAACGTTGATTGAGAAGATTGCCAACGGCATATGCAGCGCTCTTGCAAGTCGGGCCCCTCTTATGTACCAGCGCAATAAATGGATGATGGCAGAAGAGGCCACTTGCAGCACTTGCATCATGCTTCTTTTTGGGAACTGCCTTGTTCACGCATACAAGATGTTCTGCGACAGAGTGAGGGGACAAGCTGTCGACGTGCAAGTTGGGGGCGGAGGCGAAGGCGGCGCTGCTGGAGGCGATCTGGGCGCGGGCGCGATGGCCATTGTTCCTGTTGGGGCAGCTGCCAATGCCATCGCCCGCGCTGGATCTTCGGGCACCTCGGCTAGCTTTGCCAAAGAGAACGCTGCAAGGCGAAAAAAGGCAATGGAATTCTTGTCCTCGGCTGTGCCGTCATCTCCGTGCGCTCAGTTGGTGTCCTTGCGGATGCTTCTGTCCGTGGCGCAGCAGATGCAGAAGACCGAGTTGTTCGTCGGGTCCCTGAAGTGGCACAAACGGCAGGACGCCCTCGCTGCCAGAGCGGCCCAGATGCCCGACAGCGGACAGCGGCAGCGGCTACTGTTTCGAGATTACCCCGTTCTCGTCCACGCACGGCTTGAGATAGAGAGCAAGGCTTTCAAGCAGTTGGTGCGTTTGTTCCACGACGTCAGGGTGTGGATGTTGCTCAAAGAAGCGGACATGACCAACAGGCTCAAAGCGGACTGTTTCATTAGCCAGTCTCGTATTGGCGCTCTCACCGAGAAGATGTTGGCCTCCAAGCACTCCCAGCCCCCGTTTACGCTGTTTCTCGTGATCGAGCAGCCCGCGCTGGCCAGGACGATCAAGGATAGACCAGAATGTTCGCTTGATGTGTGGAGCCGATTGTTTCTCCAGCAGAACGACTTGGATACCGAGGCCGCGCGGATGAAGCTGGCACTGCATGTAATCCTAATCACGATGAACACCGACCATCTCGAGTGCAAGAACAGCCAGCTTCGGAGGTACACGAAGAAGAGGGTCCAGTGCAAGCAGGAAGACGCCATGGGCCTCAGCACCAAGTGGATTGGAAACCAGGTCAGAGCGGACGCGCCGCCTTCCCAGGGCTCATCGGCGCCGAGTGGTGTTCCCGAGGCCCCGTCCGATCAGCAGCGCAGACAGCAGGACGACGACGGCCAGGGCGGCGACGCTGCTGGGAGATCAAAAGGCGGTGGCGCGTGGAGAGCGTTCATGCGCCATATGGGTTCCAATGATGTTCCCGAAGTCTCTCGGCTGTACAGAGCTCTGCGTGATGTCGTGGGCGACGAGGTCATGGCGAAGTGCATCGAGGAAGGCGCGGCCGCGACCCAGCGATGGCGACGCGGTTGCGCCTCATCCACGTCGTTCGGGCCCACCAAGACAGATATGCAGCGGGCCATGTTACAGCGATCTCTTCGGGCGCGTGCTGAAGCGGGGCCAGACTCTGCCCCGCAGTCTGATGTCGCCATCTTGGATACCTTCGCGAGGGACGCCACTGCGCGGGCAAGGACCGTGGACGAGGCTGTCCGAGATGTTCGGCGTCTGCAGCACAGCGTCAGGCAGAGAGATTCTCGGGCGCGCAAAGTGGACGATGATGACGTCGCAAAGTTCTCAGCTACTAAGTCGGCTGAGTGGGCATCAGAATTGGCGGCTGGCGCTCCTGCCGTGGGCGCCTGTACCTCGGGCGTGGTGGCAATCCCGCCGCCCATGGCAAATGTGCGGCTCCTGCGCAGCGTGGCCAAGTCGTCTACTGAGCTGGCAGATGGTTTGGTTACATACTGCCGCGAGATCGGCTACAGTCATCAGAACCTGCTGAAAAATCTCGAGACGGCCTGGGCCCACCTCCATCGTAACCAAGATGGCCCTGATGAATGCAGCGAGTCGGAGCCAGAAGAGCTGTGGGAAGCTGATTGTTTCCATGCTGGCATTTGCTTGTGCGGCCCTGCTGGCGAGCGCAAGCAAAAGTTGAGGAACAGTTTTCTCCGATGCCTCAAAGTTGTATGCCCTAAGAGTGACCTTTCGGAGCGGAGATCAGATCTGGTCGATGGCAAGATTGTGGTGCGGATTTCTGTGAATGCTGGTGGCGATCACGGCCAGGAGGCTCTGGACGAGTTCTGGGGCTTGGACCATGACATGTGGTTCCACGTCAGCCACCAGAGCCTCTCGCCCTACGAGCCGATGCTCCAGCCGATGCAGCTGGCCTCCCTGGACGAGAGCAGAGCCGCCGCGCCGCATGGCGACGAGATCGCGCTCAAGGCAGGCCCTCGGAGTTGCAAGTTTCCTCTCCTCCACTCTCTCCCCCGCCCTTCCCTAGATCCGTCGCCTCCTCCGCCTCCTCCTCATTCTCCCTCATTCTCCCTTCCTCTCTC